TCTTCTTCTGTCATATAGGTCCCAGGGACTGAACTCAGATTGAACTCAGGTTGTCAGGCTTGGTAGCAAGCACTTTTACCAGTTGAGCCATCGAATTGGCCCAAATTTCATTTTCAGATGGTTATGTCAGAACATCTAACTCCTCTTCCTCTTTATAAGTAGCTTTGAATGCCTTTTTTAAAGGGTTTTTTTTTTTTTTTTTTTTTTTTTTTTTCCCTCAGTGACTCTCTGCTGCCCCCATGGGGGTAACTTTTTCCAAGTCTGGTAATTTTAAAGGCCGCAGTAAAAAATAGCCATAGCTCATCAACTGCACCCAACTAATTAAAAGTTAGTCAATTTTCTTTGGTTAGTTCGGTAAACTAAAGATGACTTTATATTCTAGCCTTTTTTTTTCTACCTTTCTTAAATAGCATCAAGAAAACTTACATTTTTTTCTGAAAACAAGATAAGCTGCCTATGCCAGGCACAATGGCTGGTTTCCCCAACCCTCTGTACTAAAGCAAAAGGACCTCTACAAATTCAAGGCCAGGCTGGTGTACATTGAGTTCCAGGCCAGCCAGGGCTGCAAAAAAGAAAGAAAAAGATAAATTGTCTCTTATGTTTTAATCTATTCTAGTAACACTAGCAAATGATTCAGTCATTTAATATGTGTTAAGTAACCAGGCGTGGTGGCACAGGCCTTTAATCCCAGCACTTGGGAGGCAGGGACAGGTGCATCTATGAGATTGTGGGCAGGCTGGTCTATATATTGAGTTCCAGGCTGGCTGGGGCTATAGGAGGACCATGTATGTATGTATGTGTGTATTAACTAATATCTGGTACTATGTAGGCATGTGTATTAGTTACTTTTCTATTAGGGGTTCCAGAAGATCCAGGTTCAATTCCCAGCACCCTACATGGAGGTTCTGTTGCCCTCTTCCAGTCTTAGTGGGTATTACACACATAATACCAGTAAACTTACCAGCAATCAAAACACTTGTATAAATGAAAATAAATAAGTCTTTTTTTTTT